TGCCTTCTAATACCCACTGTGAACAACTTCATAAGCATAGAGTTTTCCAAAAGACCCGGGAGAAGGAAAGGAAACCTACTGTAGTGAAACGCTGTCAGGTGGATTCTTAAGTGAAGGAATTAGATGTCTTAATAGCCTCTTCTGAACTTTCTTCCAGAACCAAAAACTTTTGCTAGAAAATCAGCTTTTACGAGAGAAAACTCATGGCCTCATAGTTGAGAACCAGGAATTGAGACAGCGCTTGGGGATGGATGCCCTAGTGACTGAAGAGGAGGCAGAGACCAAAGTAAGTCATGTCCTTTATTTGGTGCCGTATGTGAGAACTGGTTTTAAGTGACATGACCTCTTTCTTTAATGATACTTATTCATTTTTCAAGAGTGTAGCGAATAGTACTAAGTCCTAATAATTAAAATAAGTTACATGACTCTCCAAGAGCAAGTACTAACAAATGCCAGTAGTCGACAAGATATATCTACCATGCCAGCATTAAGGAGAACCAGGATAAGAGAGCCAGTCAAACCTGACTTTGAATGCTACTGAAATTATAGTGGTTCTTTGATGAATATGATTGAGAAGAGAAGGGATTCATTGTGATAGTGACACCTTTCTGATAGAAGAGTGATGTATGGGTTTTAATTTACGAATCATGGCAAGTTCAGTGATAATACTTAAGTGGTCTAAGGTTGACAGTAGGGCAGTTCTACTCAGAAGATAATGTTTAGGACAAACTTTTAAAAAAATTACTATCCAAAAAGATTCTGGGCTGAAATTCACTATAGAACTTTATTACTAGGAACGTTATTGAGAATATAAGTAAGATATTATTTAAGAATATTGGTCCTGCCTGAATCTTTGCTTGGGGAAGAAAAATGTTTCATTGTACAGAAAATCACAATGAAGTTAGTCTTACCTTCCTTTTCTTATCTCTTCTTGAGGAGGGCTCGAGAAAATGGAAATAACAAAGGTTTAAGGGAAAGGTTTCGGCTCTAAAGAATAGTTTTCTAGCTTTCTTGAAAGTCAAGAATCACAGCTTCCTGGCAAGTATTTCCCTGGGGACTCTCAGCTGTTGGAGCTGTTCATTCATTATGGTCTTTCCTCCCAGGGGAATGGAGCGAGGCCGGTGGCCGGGTCTGCTGAGTCCGCAGCACTCAGACTACGTGCACCTCTGCAGCAGGTGCAGGCCCAGTTGTCACCCCTCCAGAACATCTCCCCATGGATTCTGACGGTGTTGACTCTTCAGACTCTGAGGTAGGGCTTATTCAGGTTTACTAAAGAGGTGTATAACTATTTAATTCCATTTGTTTGATGCCTGACATCCCTAACCAGACATATGACGGCAGAGAAGGTAGTTTCGGTTGAGTTGGAGGTGAACATTAACTACCTTCCTATTTCCAGGTGGTTTAGGACATGGAGTGGAGTATAGATAAATGGGTCTGGTGGGTCCTGGAGGTCATCCTATAGCCTAATGATTAATTTACATTTTGGAACCTAGCACTAAGGTAGATTCTCAGTGCATTCTAATAGTTGAACTCCATTTAATTTTTCCTTTTACAGTCTGATATCCTGTTGGGCATTTTGTTCAACTTGGACCCAGTTATGTTCTTCAGATGTCCCTCTCCAGAGTCTACCAGCCTGGAGCAGCTCCCAGAAGTCGACCCAGAAGGACCCAGTTCCTTACCCGTACCCCCCTCTCCATCCCTGGGGACGTCATCAGCCAAGCTGGAAGCCATTAATGAACTGATTCGTTTTGACCACATATATACAAAGCCCCTAGTCTTAGAGATACCCTCTGAGACAGAGAGCCAAGCTAATGTGGTAGTGAAAATTGAGGAAGCACCTTCCAGTCCCTCAGAGAAAGATCACCCTGAATTCACTGTCTCAGTGAAGGAAGAACTTGTAGAAGATGACTTCATTCCAGAGCTGGGTATCTCAGATCTGCTTTCAACCAGCCACTGCCTGAAGCCATCTTCCTACCTACTGGATGCTTATAGTGACTGTAGCTATGAGGGTTCCCCTTTTCCCTTGAGTGACATGTCCTCTCTGCTTGGTGTAGACCATTCCTGGGAGGACACTTTTGCCAGTGAACTCTTTCCCCAGCTGATTAGTGTCTAAGGAGTGATCCAATACTGATGCCCTTTTCTTGACTATTACACTGCTGGAGGATATAGCACAGAAGCCTGTGCTTCATTCAGAAAGCCAAAGTAGAGGGTGTATGGTCCTAGAGAATTCCTCTAAAGTATTTGTTCAAACCTCATAGGTCACCCCAAGTATTGTCTTTTGACATTCAGCAGTCCAGGGTACACAGATACATTACTATAATCCAGAATTAGAGATTCTGAGGTTGTACCTTTATCTTAAGGGCAGTGGTTTGCCCTAAAGTATTTACGTAAGCATCACTAGAAAAGTGTCTTAGACATGGAATTAACGAATGGCCCTTTATCATTTCTCTTTACCCATCTTGGCATCCCAGGCTTGCCTCTGATCTTAGGTCCTTTAGTTTGCTTCTGCAAGCAGAGAGGACACCTACCTGAGGGGGCTCCTTTTCCCTCATCATGTACAGTTCAAGTAAAGATCAAGAATCTTCTGTAAAATAGAAATTTACTATGTAAATGCTTGATGGAATCTTTCCCTGCTAGTGTAACTTTTGGAAGGTGCTTTCTCCATTTATTTAAAACTACCTGTTCAGTTAAAAAGTACAATGCAGTGTCTTTGTTCTTTGATTCCTTCTTGAACCTCAAGTCTTATTGTTGTTATTCTCTCTCGGTTTTCACTGTTTGCCATGGTAGTGATTTATCCCACTTCAGTGAGCATGCCACTTTTTAAAGTGACTGAAGGCTTTCCCCCCTTAATTACTGCCTGCTTCAATTCCTGGCTGCCTGAAGTAAACACTGAGCAGTTACTATATTTGAGACAGTTTCTTCAGCCTAATTGACCAGTATTACAGCTAGTAAATGGCAGAGCTAGAACACTTAACAACTTTTGCTATTAACATGTTAGAGAAGGACATGCCATTAAATATCAATACTTTTGCTATTATTATAGAGATTAAGAGGATTTTCTAGACTCCAACTCCCTGGGTTCAACTCTGCCACCAGTTCAGCTGGGTAACCCTGGGCATAAATTACCACTTATTTCCTCATCTGTAAAGGGGTATAATAGTATCTCTAAAGGCTGCTAGAGGATTCAAAGAGACGATGCATTATAAACACTTAGTATATGCCAGGCACCGTCCCAAGCACTCAAAAGTTAACTGTTATCTCCTAATCCACTTTGGAAGGGTTTTAATCTCTTACAGAATTACATACACTCTAGGATATGTTTCACAGAAGAATGAACCTGTTACAACCCCCAAACTACAGACTTGATAACCTCATCATCCAAGGTGCATCTTTTCCTTGGGAATCCACTTACAAGATATTAAAGGAGTCCCCTAATTTATAGAAATTATTTTACCCATGCCAGCATTCTATGCCAGTGTTTACTGACTACCTCTGGGGAGGTCAGAGTGAGTGAGCAGACCAAACGAGATGGGATTCGAAGAATCCCCAGCAGCAAGGCAAAGCAGGCTATGGTTACAGCCAAGTACAAGGGAATGCCTTTGGTGTGATTGGGGGCGTGTCCACAAGCATACTAGTAGGCAAGAGAGCCTAAGGTCCCTGGTTGCTGAAACCAGAGCCCAATCCTAGTACTTGGCAATGCAAACTTGCTTAATCTCTGAGTTTCTGTTTTGGAAGTGTAAGAACAATCCACCAGCTGCCCCACAATTAAAAACCTGATCACCAGATTTTCTAGAACTGAAAACAAGTGCTGAGAATCTATTTAGGGATTGTGTAGGCAGATGTAATTACAGATACATTTTAGCTTTCAACATTATAGAACAAGCATCTGAAGACTGGGGCTCAACTAATTTACATTCAATGACATCACGTGAAAGAAACAGCTGTACAACAGGAATAACACACAGGACACAACCTGTGTAGATTGAGTTTTCATTTCCTGCACAGATGGGTGAAAATTACTAAACACTCAGGATATCCTATCTTCATACTGAAACACTAAATGGAATGGTTAGAAATAAAAACATCTTTCTCTGCAAAACCAAAGCAAGATTTCTGTTAAATGCAGAAGGTTGTCCATAACTCAAAGCAGCAGGTGACAGATACCTGTACACCATTTCCCTGGGCCTTGTAACACCAATGTGTGCTTCTCTGCTTTTCTACTAGGTGTGTTACTGGAGCAGGCAAAGTAGGGACAGAACTGTAGGCAGAGGTAATTAATACCTCCTACTCCAAGAATATTTTATGGCATCAAATTCTAATCTTCTAAGATTAAATCTTTACCCTCTAACTAACTTCTAAAGTTAATTAGGGACAGGAAGACTGGCTTGTTTACCCACTAACCAGTCGCTGAAAGACAACATTCCTGTCTTGCTGGAGCTATATAGTCTAACACCACATAACTGCATGTAGCTCATCTCTCAAATGCCACTAGTAGAATATCTGAACCAAACTGATAAATACAAAACTATATTCCCTCAAGGAGTTTAAAGTTACACTGCCTGAACCATACTTTATTGTAGATTATTTCAGTGAAACCTAAACATGTTAGGTATTGCTGTAAAAAGACCACTGGTCAAGTAGGAACCCTGGACCTGGTGAATTGGATTATTATACTAAATTGTCACTATCTACTTAGGCTTAGTTTACAAATCTATAAAAAGATAACTTTTAGCTATGATTTCCAAATTTTGGTAAAGAAAACAATATCCTGAGTTTTCTGTAGCTGCAACTCAAACTCTGCCTGCCCACAAATCAGGGATCCACATTTATCAACTAATGGTTGTAAATATGCACGCAATACCGCCACCCAGTGACCTGTCAATTCAAGAAAGGAATGACCATGTAACCGGACATCTAGAGGAATTTTCCTACTCCCTATTTTTAAAGGTCCCAAACTTGATTTCATTTACTTAAGTGCAGGAACACAATATCTCAAATAGTCCAAAACACTTAAGTTTTATTGAAAACAAAATACAAAAACACCAGATTCTCATTTTAAAGTAAAATTAACAGCATCTTCCACAACTTTCCAAGTACTCCACCATCCTTATCACTATTAAAAAACAAAACCAAGTTCCAGATACAAAATAATTAATGAACCCACTGGTGAACATTTTTCTCATGGTTCTAGTTTCCACTCATTTTTAAAGTTTTACATTTGCACCTTTTCAAGAATGAGTAGCAATTTTTATTTGATTAATATCTGTGAGAACCGCACTTAACTTTCTTCATATGAAATAAAAAAAAACAAAACCACACACACCCTAATCAAACTCAGAGAAAATACACATTTGTTCATTAAAGCTCACCTGCTTTAGATAATTTTTTCTCTTCACACATTAGCATAGTAAGCCAATGTTTGATCCATGCTGCAAAAGCTGTACAAAATGAAGACCTGTTAATTCCATAGGGAAACCTTAAGGCAAAAGCAAAAGCCTTACTCTACAAAAGAAAAACAAAGCAGAGGCATGGGGACTGTGGAGACGGCTCAGATGAGTAAGCACCACATGGATGAAGACGACAATTTTTGTACAAACATATGCAGGATAAAGTTTAAAAAGGAGCATTGAACATCCATGTTTCCTACAGAAATAATGATCATGTCAGGTAAAATGACTTCTGAAACAAGTTCTGCTTGGATCTTAACAGAATCTTATTAGTTCTCTCCTACATATACCCGTGGTATCTGAGCCTTGTTTCAGAGCTCTTCTTTCCTCCTGTTCACTGTACAGACCTGGATCCCAGGCCTGCCCAACAATCCCTATAGAAGACAGTGTTAGTGTGCTTGGGTCCTTCTTTGGAAAGCTGTCACCTCTCCTTCACCTGAACACTGGGACTAACTCCAAATTCCAGGCAGTCACTTCATGTTTTTGAGCTGTAGCAGAACAAATGCATGGAGGTTTAAGGCTACAAACTTTACAAGTTGGTCCCATTAACAATTACCTAGAGGCAGGAGTTTTTTAAACGGCATGAATCAAACACTTGCATGTTTCAACAGAATACAGTTTACATTCATCTCTAAATCTGAGATTAAGAAACTATTAGCTGGTTTCCAACTGTTTCAATACTGGTTTGAAGTTTGAATAATTTTATTGTGTAGACATTAAATATTTTGTTTAAATATTAAACATTAAATCTTTTCCTGACTATCCAGACAGAAATAGAGAAAGCAGGAACAACAGGCAGGAGAAGAAACAGTCCAGTTAACAGACTTGTGACTTCTATGCCATCTGTAAAAAGGGGAGGGACTTCGGCATGGGTTTCAAAATTGCCTGGGAGCTGCCTCCTAAAGTCACCTCTACTTGGCATAAACCATGTTTTCTACACAAGGTATCTGATTCCAACAAAGGCAAAAGAAACCCAGAAAACAAAACAGAAAGAACTGGGGTGGTCTCCCATTGTCTGATAAAAGAGCTAGTATTACACTCAATAAGTTATAGTGGATATTCTGTAGCACTAAAGAAATTGTCATTTTACTTCGTACTACTGAGTCCTTGCCACGCAGAAGAGCTCTTCCTGAGAAATAAAAAACTTCAATCCTGGTTACCCTCAGAGGACGCCTTGAGCCTGGTTAAGGTCCTCAAGATGAAGATTTCCTGCTAGCAGGAAGCTATTCTCTAACTTTTAGGCTTACTGCACCATAGTTGAAACTGGCTATTTCAGTAAATCTCAATGTCACTTGCCCATATGTGCTCAGCTAATTATTCAGTCACTGTTTTCTAAATTAACATTAAAAAACTCAACTTGCTTATACAGGCACAACTTTTTTTTTTAACTACAGAAGTTATATGCTGGGCTTAGCTGATACAGCACTGCCCCAGTATTACCTGAGGGATGCTTCTCCCAGAGCCAATTCGCACATGGTTTACCTCACAACCTTTTAAACTATCACTCAAAGTTAATTAAGCTGTAAACATTACTGAATAGCTGGGCTTATCAATTATGCAAGGGAAACCAAGGAGCAACAGTAGCACAAGGCAAAAGAGCCTCAAAGGAAAAACCTTTTCTTTGTATTTTTCATTCCATTTTCAGAGGCAAAGAGGGGAGCCACAATGCTACTGGCTAATCAATATAGCTACAATGAATTGACAACTAATATACAGGTTTCAGAGCCTCTGTTAATTTCCCCAGCATAGGCTTAAACTACTGCCTCCTTTCTCCTTCTCCCCAATCATATATAGTCACCACTGTAAACAGAGCTCATAACTACAGATGAAGTTGTGGCTCGACTGTCGAAGTACACATAGTAGGAGAGCATCCTACTTTCTTAATGCATCTTTTTCAACTCAAGTATCTGAATGATATAAACAATGTGACAGATGACTTAAAAGTCATGCTTACACATATAGCTTCTATACTTGACTTTGCAGAATGTACTCCTTATTCCTTTAATAAGACCCCTAGAAAACTGCTTTTCTCTTGAGACAAGTTTCCTTGGCAAAAGTTGAATTCAAGAAATGGCTACCCAAAATGAGAGTCCCACCCCAAATCACAGGTGGAGCTATTACACCCGTTTCAAAACTTTCAAGTCCCTATACTGTACAAGCAGGCTCATGACTGAACACATAAGCCTTCTAAAATTTGACAACTTTAGTATAGAAACTGGTGTCTAAAGTTCCATCTCTTCTTCCGTGCAAGCAGCTGTCTCCAAACTAGTGTAAACAGGCAACCCTGTTTGCCGAGGTTCCAAGAACAGTTCAGTTCTTTGAGGGTAGGCAGTGCCAGCAGCTGCATGCTTAGTTTGGCTCTCTCCTGTGTAGTTCTTAGCATTAGATGACAGCTTTGGCTTATCAGAAAGGAGTTCAGGGAGAGGTTTCCAGAGCACAAGCTCCATGGAAGGACGGCTCCTAAGACATAAAATACAGATTTTTATCAATAATTTTATAACATGAAAATAAAAGATATACATTGAAAAACTAATGTTTGCTACCTAACATCTAAAAACGGATGGGATTAAATAGGAGATTTATGACAATCCAAATTGATCTTTACAAAGGCCACTCAAGTACATTAAATTTTACAGTTCTGCATGCATTTTTAAGCAAACCAACTGGTTGTACTGATGCTGTGATTAGAATATAAACATTCAACATGTAAAACAGAGGCCCTTGATTTATTATAGTGTTTTCTTAAACTGTGGTTAATATTAGCAGATGTGAGCTACTATCTTGTACTAAACCATTATAAATGAAAAAGAAACATTGGCCAAACACTAAAAATATCTCAGTATGCCTTTTGCTTAGTACAGCTATGAAACATAATGCTTTTTGCAGTAAGCCACTGTCTGTGCCTACCCCACCCCCTCGCTGCCCTCTCCATCTAGTGATGGTTTGATGGTTTCTGGGACCCAAGGGCAAGTAAGGAAAAATAAAACACAAACAATGAAGAACACACCCCCCCCACACACACACACAAGGCTAGCTTCTGGAAAACTACCAAGAGCAGAAAGTGCTATGTTTTAGGCTGGAGGGCAATGTGACCTGCTTACTCTTGGCTAAACTATCTACCCACCCTAAGGGCTGGGTAGTCAGAATTATAAGATCAAGCTAGGAGGCTAATGCAAAACCCTTGTGTGCTAACATCGAGCAGCAGTGGAACCCACTGTGTCTAAAGACAATACTGCCTCATCTACCTGGCATCAGTGGGACTGTATCCTAAGAGAATTTTTCAGATATCTGACACTTACCCTCACTGAGTACCAAGTCTATCTGAAGTCTTTTCTAGGCAACATCTAAATGGCACTTTATAACTTGCCTACTACAGTTGGCCCTCTGTATCTGTGGGTTTTTGATTCAGACCATTTTATTTTTTTAATTAATTAATTTATTTACTTATTCTTGGCTGTGTTGGGTCTTCATTGCTACGTGGTTTTCTCTAGTTGTGGCGAGTGGGGGCTACTCTTCGTTGCAGTGTGTGGGCTCCCCATTGTGGTGGCTTCTCTTGTTGCAGAGCACAGGCTCTAGGCGTGCGGGCCTCAGAAGCTATGGCACGCGGGCTCAGTAGTTGTGGCTCATGGGCTCTAGCGCGCAGGCTCAGTAGTTGTGGCACAAGGGCTTAGCTGCTCCGTGGCATGTGGGATCTTCCCAGACCAGGGCTCGAACCTGTGTCCCCTGCATTGGCAGGTGGATTCCTAAACACTGCGCCACCAGGGAAGCCCTCAGACCATTTTATATAAGGGAACTGAGCATCCTTGGATTTTAGTATCCGCAGGGGGTCTTGGAACCAATCCCCCCCATGGATATTAAGAGACAACTGTACTTTACAGAGTCGGCAATGACCACTTGAAATCATCTAAGCTCAAGGACTACAAGAATTACAGGGCTATCATTAGTTCTTATGTAAATGGGCTCCAGGCTGCTTTGCTTTTCAGGTTCTTATGTTTGCTTTCCAGTTGCCTATCCTGTTCTCACACTGTACTGTCACTATTGACTACTATGAGTTTGTCTGTTCTGCTGTTTTTGTGTTTCTACTCTGATGACTGAGGAAACCAGATAACTGAGCTGATCAAACTGGGTCTAAACTAAGTGCAAAATGGCTCTTAGAGCTAAAGGCCTGAGGGGCTACACACTATGAGGTAAGAATATGAGCTGTGGATTGTGGCCTTTGTGATAACTTTTTTGACTGCTGGGAGACTTTTGTTTCCTAGGTCCTAATAGTGGTCCTAGATAACTGAGAGAGCCAGGTAAAAGGTACTTTTGAAATGTGGTTCCTACATCCTATCATAGGTATTTGAGAGAATGGGTTTTTTTTTTTTTTAACTTCTTTATTGGAGTATAATTGCTCTACAATGATGTGTTAGTTTCTGCTGTATAACAAAGTGAATCAGCTACACATATACATATGAGAATGGGTTCTTTCTTGCCAATCCTCCCATTTCCAAATATTAGACTATTAGTGCATTTTGGGACTTCAAAACAACCCAGGGCTGAGTACACAAGGCAGCCAACTCCTGCTTGCGTAGCGTTTTGCTCACCCCAATGAACTAAGAAAAGGTCTCCGACTTGGGCTAAATACAAACGTACTATGCTTTCACTTGGTTGGCGATCAGGAAATGTCTAGAGACTGTGTTTTCCCTCCAAGATCATAACTGAATGGAAACCAGAAACCAAAACTTACATGGACTCAATCATTTTCTTTGTAAAGACTTCATCAAATTCCCTCTTCAAACCTGTTTTCATGGTATCAGAAAGGACAAGGCTAGGAAGATGGTTAATATTTCTGTCAGCTTCAACTTCTTCATCTTCGTCAATTATTCTAAATAAAGACAGAAGCGAAGGAAGAAAGAAAAATTATTTAGTTAAGCTATTATATATTTATTAATTGGAAAAAATTTAAAAAATAAAAACAAGGATAAACGCAACAGGTGCTACAGCAAAATATCAAGTAAAATATGAGACTATACCTGAGAGAAAAAAGTATACACAAAAGAGCTGTTCAACATTTAACCAAAATGCTTTACATTAGAGGCAATCAAATTTGAAGAATGTGTCCCTAAAAACCCTCATACCAAAAAGTAATATTCAGAGATAGTAAGTGAAAGTATTTAGTACAGTTCTATGAGAAGAACTTACTTTAACATTTAAAGTGTATACTTTGAGCTTTCTGATTTTTATAGTCTGATATATTGAGGATCAAGGAATCACCAAATGATGAATTAGACTAACTTGAAAGAGTAGAGATGTTACATAGGAACAATAATAAGCAGCTAGATATATGCTGCCCATTTACCTGTCCTCAATTTCCTGAAGCCTCCTTCGGGCAACTTCACATTGTGGTTCTCCTGTTGTCTGATCCATCTCTTCACAAATAACATCTAACATGCCAGGTGCAGAAAGGCCACTAGTGCACGGATTTACTCCATGACCCTCTATATCCTGATGTGCACAAAGAATCCAGTCATTAGGACCAGCACAGAGCCCTGCTTCAGTTAGCCTTTTCTTTCTTACTGGACAACTGAAAAAAAAAAAAAATCAATGAAAATCCTGGCTAATATAAATGAAATGTGTATCATCCCCCATCTCTAATCAAATTCTTCTACGAAAAACCTCTAATTTTTGACAGTGTGTGATTGCAAGATGGAAAATCACACATTTTCTTTTCTGTCATTCTCACAGCCTCCCTGAGATGTTTCCCTTCCCGACATTTGTCAAATTAGGTTGCAACTGCAAGATTTTTGCTTTTCCAGATTAGAAGTGTTCGCTGTGGGAATTTAAAGTCGTTCTTACTTATTCGGCTCTGGAAAGCTCAAGTGGGAAGTAAAGAATACAAAAATCACAAAGTAGCAATTCAGTGCCAGCCATATTTTTTCAAATTGCTGCTGCTCCACTACACTGGGCATATGAGGAGGTAATCTGCAGGCATCCTATATTCCCTTAGGGCAAAAATATTCGCTTCATCAGGTCTGCACCAAGTACTACAGATGCAAATGATATTGCTGATTTCTTGGTTCTCTCCAAAAATGGCAGAGGCTGTCATTTGCCCTATGGGTCCCTAATAATGGGGTGCACTTTTCTCCTGCCTTGCAACATAAACTATCCTCACTTCCTAGAAATTTTGTATTTCCTTGAGACCTTAGAGTTCATCAAATCCAATTTCTTTGTTTTGCACATGTGGAAACTAGGACCTCGAAAACTAAAGTGCTCCCTCCAAAGTTTCATGTAAGGTGAGTTGTATTGATATTTTGGGTACCAGACCCCAGAGACAGACCCTGAATCCTACCTCTTTGCCACTTTCACTAAAACCTCCTGCCTGTTAGGGAAATTCAACTGTTCAAGTTCTTACCACGAACTAGTATCTGCAAGCACTATGACCTGCCTGGTGTTTCGCTGAGACCTGTCCTGAAGCAAGTTAAATAGACAACCTGCCCTGCTCTATTTGAGTATTTAGACCAAAAGTACATTATTGCCTGGGCATCACCAAGCACAATCTCAAGACCAGAACACAGCTCTGCAACCAAAAAATTCATTAATGGCTACCACAGCTTCTGATTCTAAACTAAGAGTCAAAGGAGGAAGCATGTATTTTAGAAAGAAATTTCTATTTCATGTCAAGACTATGAAAATCAACATTCAAGTCTCTGGCAATATAAAATCTGACAAATAATAATGCTCTCTTGAACCTAGATTTTTGACTGGAATCAATTATTAAATGAGATGTTTCGTGTATAATTATTTTTAATTCATAAGAAAGTATTAAGAATGTCTATCCATAAATCAAACATTTCTGTAGTATCTGGATAAAGTATGTGACGTTTTCGAAAGCAGAAGAAAAAGTTATAGACGTAAGAAGTCATGTTGGACTTCCCTGGTGGCTCAGTGCTTAAGAATCCGCCTACCAATGCAGGGGACGTGGGTTTGAGCCCGGTCTGGGAAGATCCCACATGTCGCAGAGCAACTAAGCCCGTGCGCCACAACTACTGAGCCTGTGCTCTAGAGCCCATGAGCCGCAACTACTGAGCCCGCGTGCCACAACTACTAAGCCCGCACGCCTAGAGCCTGTGCTCCATAACGAGAAGCCACTGCACCACAACAAAGAGTAGCCCCCACTCGCTGCAACCAGAGAAAGCCCGCGTGCAGCAACGAAGACTCAACACAGTCAAAAAAAAAAAAAAAAAAGTCATGTAAGAAAAAGCAGAATGAATCTAGAATATCTAACAATTCAACTATTAAATACAGCTGAGGGACTTCCCTGCTGGCCCGGTGGGTAAGACTCCATGCTCCCAGTGCAGGGGACCTGGGTTCCATCCCTGGTGGGGGAACTAGATCCCGCATGCATGCCGCAACTAAGAGTTCAAATGCCGCAACTAAAAAATCCTGTATGCTGCAATGAAGGCCTGGAGCAGCCTAATAAATATATATATATATATTTAAAAAGATCTTTAAATGCAACTGAGTATCAGAGCTGGGTTCTGATCTCTGATCTCCAACATAATTTGGGCTAAATTATTTCATGCCTCTAGGTCCACTTTGCAAATACTTAGAGATCAATGATGATTAAGTCCCAAAGAAAATGGGATATAAAAGACTTTAAAGTTCTGATAAGAGCTATGGAAGTGGCAGGCGGGCAGCACACTTCTATGTATGTGACATCCAACTGTCCAGTCTCAGGGCCTCAATCTCTCCACGTGTATATCAAAGATGGTTAACTTTTTTTTTTTAACATCTTTATTGGAGTATAATTGCTTTACAATGGTATGTTAGTTTCAGCTTCACAAAAAAATGAATCAGTTATATAAAAGATGGTTAACTTTTAAAGCCAATTGTTTGTACACTTCAAACTTTTTATTTATGACACTGGAACCCTTTATTCAATAATCTCCTATAAGGAACCCCAAAAGATAAAAGCAAAGAGGTCCCTGTGTATCTACAGTAATCCCAAGGCTATAAAGAACATAAATATTGTCTGGTCCAGAGGTTTTTTATTATTTACTTAAAAAAAAATTTTTGGCCATACACCACAGCATTCAGGATTTTTAGTTCCCCAACCAGGCATCAAACCCATGCCCCCTGCATTGGAAGCGGAGAGTCTTAACCATTGGACTGCCAGGGAAGTCCCAGAAGTGTTTTTTTTTTTTCCAGAAGTGTTTTTAAACTGAGACAACATTCAAATCTACTGTCTCATTAGTCTATGTATCAACCAGATGAGAAAATTCAAAGTTTCTGCTGGCAAAAAAAGAAAAAAAAAAGAACATACACAAAGTTGAAAGACAACAAATCTGGAGAAAACAAAACATATATAATATACTGGCTTCCTTAATAAAATTTCTTATAGATTAACAAGAAAAAGACCAATAAGCCAATAAAAAATTTGCAGAAACATGAACAATTCACACAAAATGAAACACAGATGGCTTAAAAGATGTTCAACACCGCCTATAATTTACAAAATACAAATTAGACAGTGATCTAATTTCTTTAATTATAAAATGCCTACACTTATAAAAGTACATACAATAATTATGAAACAAAAATCCAGAGGCTTCCCTGGTGGTACAGTGGTTGACAGTCCGCCTGCCGATGCAGGGGACATGGGTTCGTGCCCCGGTCCGTGTACCAGGGGAAAAAAAAAAAAAAAAAATCCATGAAAATAATATACAAGGTATAGACTGCTGTCAGAATCCCAAAATGGTACTCTACTCCCTCCTCTCTGTAGGTAAATACTATCTTTTATGGTAATCACTTCATTTTTTAAAAAATACATTTTCGAGTATGTAGATATGCAATCTTCAAGGTTTTAGTTTTGCCTGGTTTTGAACCTTATATAGAAGGAATTATACTGTATACATATACATTCTTGTGATGTTTCTTTTGCTCATACTGTAAGACACATCTAGGTTGATAGATGTGGGGTTTTTTTGTTTTTGTTTTTTTGCTGAATTGAACTCAGCAAAAAATTTACTTTATCCATTGTACTGTTCAGGGACATTCCAATTTTGAGCTATCATGAACAAGGATGCTATGAACTTTCTTGTACATGTCTCCTGATGAGCACATGTACATACTCAAGAGGAGAACTGCTGGGTAAATGGATATGTGCATCTTCAACTCATGCGATAATGCAAAACTGTTTCCCAAAGTGTTGTAGCAATTTACATACTCATCCATAGTGTTTGAGAGTTCCTGGTGCTACAGAACCCTCCAGTATCTGGTGGTGGAGTATCTTATTGTGTCTTTAATATGCATTTCCCTAAAGACCAATGAGGTCAAACATCTTTTCATTTAATTGGTCATTTGGATATCCCCTTTGGGGAAATCTTTTACTCATTTTTTTTTTTAAGACTGTCTGCCTATGAGATGTAATTTTTTACCTATCAGTTAAGTGGTGATCAAAAAATCTCCATCTGAGAAGATGGAGAAACAGGCATTCCCACTGTCAAAGGAGTATAAATTGGCAACAACTTTTTCCAAAATTCAAAATGTATATACTTTAAGATCCAGCAATTTCCCATCTAGGAATCCATTTACCTACTTGCAAATATATACAAAGAACTTAAAAAGAATGGTGGTCCAATGTTCACTGCAGCACTATTTACAATAGCCAGGACATGGAAGCAACCTAATTGTCCATCGACAGATAAATGAGTAAAGATGTGGTACATATATACAATGGAATATTACTCAGCCACAGAAAGGAACAAAATTGAGTTATTTGTAGTGAGGTGGATGGACCTAGAATCTTTCATACAGAGTGAAGTAAGTCAGAAAGAGAAAAACAAATACCGTATGCTAACACATATATATGGAATCTAAAAAAAAAAAAAAGGTTCTGAAGAACCTAGGGACAGGACAGGAATAAAGATGCAGACGCAGACGTAGAGAATGGACTTGAGGAGGTGGGGAGGGGGAAGGGTAAGCTGGGATGAAGTGAGAGAGTGGCATGGCCATATATACACTACCAAATGTAAAATAGCTAGCTAGTGGGAAGCAGCTGCATCGCACAGGGAGATCAGCTCCATGCTTTGTGACCACCTAGAGGGGTGGGATAGGGAGGGTGGGAGGGAGACGCAAGAGGGAGGGGATATGGGGATATATGTATACATATAGCTGATTCACTTTGTTATACAGCAAAAACTAACACAATATTGTAAAGCAATTAGACTCCAATAAAAGATGTTTAAAAAAAAAGAATGGTGGTCATGGTAGATTTGTTAGTAATAACGAAGATTAGAATTAACTTAGAAATCCATCACTAGGAGACTGGTTAATTATCTGTACCTAGCCTTACAATAGAATTCCACTCACCTGTTGAAAAAGAAATTAGGTAGAACTCTATGTGCCCATATGCAACAAGCTACAGGAGAGTAAAATGAAAAGATCCGATGTGTTGTAGTGTGAACAGTATCTTACTTACAATGTAAAAAACCAGAACTATATACAGTCATAAACTTGTAAATTTTTACATTATCTTCCTTAGGAGACATAGGAAACAGGCAACAAGGGTAACTTCTGGGGAGAACTGGGAGCAAGGAGTGTAAGACTTTTCAATACGTAGCCTTCTGCGAATTCTTTTATTTTGTGCATATAACAATATTCACATGGCTCAAAGTTCAAACATTACAATCGCTTATATATATTTTTTAACATCTTTATTGGAGTATAATTGTTTTACAATGTTGTGTTAGTTTCTGCTGTATAACAAAGTGAATCAGCTATATATATACATATATCCCCATATCTCCTCCCTCTTGCGTCTCCCTCCCACCCTCCCTATCCCACCCCTCTAGGGGGTCACAAAGCACTGAGCTGATCTCCCTGTGCTATGCGGATACTTCCCACTAGCTATCTATTTTACATTTGGTAGTGTATATATGGCCATGCCACTCTCTCACTTTGTCACAGCTTACCCTTCCCCCTCCCCACGTCCTCAAGTCCATTCTCTACATCTGCGTCTTTATTCCTGTCCTGCCCCTAGGTTCTTCAGAGCCTTTTTTTTTTTTTAGATTCCATATATATGTGTTAGCATACGGTATTTGTTTTTCTCTTTCTGACTTACTTCACTCTGTATGACAGACTCTAGGTCCATCCACCTCACTACAAATAACTCAATTTCGTTTCTTTTTATGACTGAGTAATACTCCATTGTGTATATGTGCCACATCTTCTTTATCCATTCATCTGTCGATGGACACTTAGGTTGCTTCCATGTCCAAGCTATACAATTGTTCACAGAGTGACAAGTTTCTCTCTGACCTGCCCAGCTCCGTTCTCTAAAACGTAACCCATGTTATCAGTTCCTTGGACCTCCTTTCAGACACCTGATGTTTCACACTTTCACTTAAAAACAAATAGTCATGGATATAAAATAGGTTAAATTAAGTGACCGTTAAGTGAATAAAAGGCACCTGAAACTTACTCATCCTCCTCCTCCTCTCGCTTGTGTTTCTTTCTATGGTGAACTGAAACACTGTTGAAACAAACCAGAAAATCAGTCAGTTGAGAAATTTATTGAGCGGGTGCGTTCAGCATCCACTTTCTGGCTCCGATAATCTTGCCCACCCCATTCCCACCAGCGGTCCCCTTCCTTGCCGAGTGGGATGGATATACAGGTCACAAGGTCAGCCAGGTATAGAGACTGAAATCTAAACTTCTCATTTGGTCAAGACCGGGGGAGATAAATTGAGGGGGACCACCGTAGGGAAAACGTATCGGGGCAGGCACCGGGCTAAGCACTTTATTTTACGATCCCACTAGGAGGACCCACTTCTGTCCCAACTTGCGGATGAGAAAACTCAATGTCCGAGAGGCGCTGAAAGTTAACAGCAGCGGCGGCTCCGCCGCGGTCTGGAGGGAGCGAGGCGAGTGCGCGCCCACGGCAGCTCCAGGCCCGGCTCGACCCGGCTCCCTTCCTCGCACGCCCTGGGCGAGCTCGGACCGTTTCCTCACTTCCCGGGACGCAGGGGGGCCAGGGTCCGAACCGGACCCCCGCGCTTTGCTACCTCAGGCGACTAACGGTAACCGACTGTGGGGCTCAGTATCCTCATCAGCAACCTGGGGCTGAGAAGCCCCCGCCGAAGGTCGCGGGGAGGGTCAAATAGCCCGCGCCCGCCCGCCGGCCGAGATCCTCACCGTCCGCGCGCCGCGCTCCCGCCCGGGCTGCTCGGGGCGGCGCGGGGTTCCCACCGCGGGGCCAGCTCGGTGCCGTCCGCCCCCGGCGGGAAGGCCCGGCCGGGGAAAGCCGGTGGCGGCTGTAGGAAGTCCGAGCCGCCTCTCAGCGGGAGGCCGCTGAAAGGCCGGCCAAGCGCGGCCATGGCCGGAGAGGTGAGGAGGCTGCGCCCGCGGCCCCGGCTGCCCGCGGCCCCAGACCCGGCAGCGGCTGCCACAGCGACTGCCAAGAGGCGCCCGCTTCTGAGCCCGCTCCCGACCCCACGTCACGCCTTCTAGAACCCTCCACTCCAAGCCGCCCGGGGCACGCCGGGATTTGTTGTGTGTGGAGAACTGCTGACGCAAGGTCTGCCGGGAGTTGAAGTCCTTGAGGACTACAAACAAGATGGCTGCTTGTCCGAGTCTCCGGGGCTGGAGGATGGCCCTGGCCAACCTAGAATATGATACAGGTTCGAATCCTCACTCAGCAAGTTCTGGAACCTCTGTACCTCAGTTTTCTCAGTAGTAAAACCTGAAAACAGTAGTACCTATGTTCATAAGACCGATGGGAGAATTAAATGGATTAAAACATCTAGAGCCCTTAGGACACTTCTTGGCACATAGTACACGTTAAAAATCAGCTAGTAATTCCTTCTGTGTTTTAATGTAAATGAAGTTGATGATGCCTTAGAGGGAACAGCATGGAGGATGAGGGAAAACCTTAGAGCTCTTGTGAGAGGGACTGGCAAGACTTCCAGGCTCTATCTGGGACATCCAGAGACAAAGTCTTGCTAAAGGGCTAGCAGAATTTGTCACCATAACCACTGATCACGATCATTTTCCCCATCTCAGGAAATGGCACCATCATCTAGTCTGAGTTACTTATACCAAAGTCAATGCCCTTCAGCCAAAGACCACCAAGAACACACCTGTAATTGACCAAAGATGGATTTATTGACTTACTGCAGTCAGGGAGTGTCTCAGTAAGAGGGTGTTAGAAAAGGCTTCCTATAGGATTTCTGTGTGTCACAGGGGGATTTGGGGGCAGGTCCAAGAATCAGGGCTTTGCTCTGGACTTAATACTGTCAGAAAGCAGAGATAATTCTATGGTTATCTTAGCTAATCTTTCCTAGAAGGTGGGGGGAATGAAGGGAGGCTAAACCTACAGTTGGTAAAGAAGCAACAGTCCTTGCATTGGCCAGGATGGGAGATGTTTGGTCATTTTGTGCTTTGGACAATGTTTAGGATTGGGTTACAGACAGGATTACCAAGGGGTCTTGCTTTTATCTTGATCCATAAAAGTCACATCTCTGTCCTGTTTGATGTTGATGTTCTGTGAAATTGTTTAACAGGGAACACCAGGGTCCACCTGATAGTACCAGGCCAGTTTCAGCTGTTAGAAGATGCTTTTCTCTTTCTAACCAAAACCCTAAGCATCATCATTGATGCCTCTTTTTTGTTCACCAACCCCCCCCCCCATATTTAATCAGTTAGCAAGTCCTATGGGCTCGTGAAAGGCCTCCAGATTTCTCTTCGTTTTTCTCCATTTCCATTGCCTTCATGGTAGTCTGGGAAAAAGTAAATGGACCCCTTTGTCTAATGTAATATGATTGATTCAGTTTAAGTTTTCTTACTGACATTTAAAATGCAGTTTTGCCTCCTTAAGGTAACACCCTACTTACCTCAACTGGATATAAAAGATATTCTCCTGGGTCACTTCTACAAATGGTCAACTCATTCCTCACCTGAAAAAAAAAATCCATCCAGATGATGTTATATACACATAGACATACAAATATACATTTATAAAAGGGAGTCCTACTTTATATATTATTCTGAAACTTCTTTTCCACCTAATTATATTTCTTAAATGTCTATCCAAATTCATTCTTTTATCCTTTAATTCACAATTCTATACTAAGTTGCATGCCCCTTATCAAGCAATGTATTAGAATTAATAATTTATTAGGTACTTCCTATTTGCAGGTGCTCTTTACCCAGATACAGTCAAATATTCCTCATAATAATGCTAAATTGGATGCTTTTATGCCCCCATTTTACAGATAAGGAAATTGAGGCAGGTTATGGTTCCCAATTCCCTCAGCTATAAGTGATGGAGCCAGTGTTCAGCCCCAGGTCTGAGACCCTAGATCCTGCCTTAAACTTCTAGGCTTTGCTCCATCTCATTGAATTCCCTGGAAAAAGTGCTTTGGGGGAATCAGTGAAAGCCTCAGTATTATGTGTCTGAGAGAGACTACATGGAGCTTCGGACCCCTGGAAGAAAAAAACAGAATCATTGTGCACTGTCTCCCACACTAACTTGGGGAGAATGGCTATGGAACTCAACAGTGGCCACTGAGAGCATCTCTTCTTTTCAGTGACAATCCAGGCCTGCCTCCTAGAGGTGACTTCTGGCTCACCTCTCATAGGATTGGTGGGTCAGAGACATACAGACACTTAGACAATCCCTTCCTGACTCCTTTTTCCTGGTGGCTAATCTTATTTATCTTTTTATTAAAAAAAAAAGTTTTCTGGTTTTAAAACTAACACAGGGGCTTCCCTGGTGGCGCAGTGGTTGAGAGTCCGCCTGCCGATGCAGGGGATGAGGGTTCGTGCCCCGGTGCGGGAAGATCCCACATGCCGCGGAGCGGCTGGGCCCGTGAGCCAGGCCGCTGAGCCTGCGCATGCGGAAGAAAACACAGGTTCTTAGTAAAAAATTAGTTGAAGTGGTGATAAAAGGTTAGAGAAGCAAATGAAAATCACCTTAATAGCATCCCATTAGAAGCATGATTGTTATGAATATCCTTCCAGTCTTTTTTTCTTATTTGTGTGTATGTGCACACTCACGTACCTGTGTGCTAGTGTCCAATACACACATAAGAGCTGTGCACTATCGCAACTAGACCACAGATACTCATATGACTCTATATAAAGACAGCAAAACCAAACTTAGAGAGGGTGAGTAATTTGTCTACATAATTAATAGTCATTAGTTACTAGAGCTTAGCAAGAAACAACCTCGTCAGGATGTTAATACAAAAATATTAGGCTTCATCCCCTCTGGAAGAAAAGACACCAAACCAAAATGTTGATGGCAATACTAGAACTTACACTTTCTGGGTATAAGTTTTTATTCTTTTCCAATGAATATGTACTATTTATTAGGCCATAAAGGATAAATGTTTTTGAAATAAACAATTGATGAGGTACAATGGACTGAATGTTTGTGTCCCCCCAAATTCATGTGTTGAAATCCTGACCCCCAATATGATAGTATTAGGATAGTATTAGGCCTCTGGAAGGTGATTAGGTCATGAGGGTGGAACCCTCACAAATGCCCTTATAAAGAGACCCTACGAAGCTCCCCTGCCCCTTCTACCATGTGAGGACAGCAGAAAGATGGCCATCTATGAACTAGGAATGTGTTGTCACCAGACACTGAATCTGCTGGTGACTCCATCTCAGACTTCCTAGCCTCCAGAACTGTGAGCATAAATTTCTGTTGTTTATATAACACCCAGTCTATGATATTTGTTATATCAGCCCGGATGGACTAGGACATGAGGTTAAAAACAAGAGGCTGAAAGAAGCAAACACCACCAGCAGCATGCATTTATTGAACACTTACTATGTACCAGGCACTGTGCTGAGGGCACTATTTCATGTTGGCTCCACAACAACTCTGTACTACGGTGTTAATATCACCACTTTGCAGAATTAGAGGCTAAGATTCAGTGAGGTGAAGGACAAATCTCAAGGTCTCACAGTTAGTAATGATGGTTCTGGAAAGATTTGACTGATTCCAAAACCAGGAATATCATTACCGCTTTCCACAAGCAAATAGAAACTTTTTTTTTTTTTCCTGCTGAGGATCCTCAAATGCATATTCGAGGGAAGATCCTTGCATTAGTTAGGGTTCTGCAGAGAAACAGAAACTATAGGATATACAGGGATATATCCTGGGATATATATATATAAGAGGAGACCTATTACAGGAATTGACTTACTTGGTTATGGAAGCCAGGAAGTCCCACCATCTGCCATCTGCAACTAGAAAACCAGAAAGCCAGTGATGTAATTCAGCCTGAGTCTGAAGGCTTGCCAATCAGGGGGTTGATGGTGTAAGTCTCTGAGTGCGGAAGCCTGAGTATCAGGAGAACCGACATCCAAGGGCAGCAGATAGATGTCTCAGCTCAAGCAGAAAGAGAGAGCCAATTTGCCCTTCCTCCTCCTCTTTCTTCTATTAGAGCCCCCAGTGGATTGGCGGGTGCCCACCCACATCGAAGGGCCATCTGCAATACTCAGTTCCCCAATTCAAATTCTAATCTCTTCCAGAAACATCCTCAGAAGCACACCCAGAAATGATGTTTTACCAGCTATTGGGACATCCCTTAGGCTAATCAAGTTAATACATAAAATTAGCCATCACAATCCCTAAGAAATTAATGCTCCTGCTTAAAAAAGGAGAATGAAAAAAAAAAAACAAAAAAAACAAAAAAAAAACAAAAAAGGAGAACGACCTTGGCTGTCAAGGACAGAGTGAAACTTGTATGTTCACGTGTTGCCAATGACATTCCAAATAGAGGAGCCCCTTCTCAAACGCAGCATTTGTTCTTGGATCATAAAAGAATTGGCGTATTATGGCTACAGGCCTGGAAAAAATGTGTGCGTATGAGGATAAAAAAGGATGTAATATGTAAATAGGAAATACTGTGTTAGGGCACGGGAATTTTTCATGATTATTTTAAAGCAAATCCCAGACTTGTATTTTATCTGTAAATGCTTTAACATTTATCTCTAACAAATATTTAAAACAAAACAAAACATAACCACAATGCTTTTATCACACCTAAACAGAATTAATAATTCTTTAAAATCATCTCATCTGTATTCACATTTTTCCAAGTGTCCCCACATGTCTTTTTTCTGTTGGTTTGATGGCATCACAGTTCAACCTCGTATTAGGTTTGCCTGTCTCTTTTTTTTCTTTTAATTCTTTTTTTCATTTCTAATATCCTACTGGTCTTTTTAAAAATTTATTTATTTATTTACTTAATTAATTTTTTTGGCTGTGTTGGGTCTTCATTGCTGTGCGTGGGCTTTCTCTAGTTGTGGCAAGCGGGGGCTATTCTTTGTTGCGGTGCGCAGGCTTCTCATTGCGGAGGCTTCTCAGTGCAGAGTGTGGGCTCTAGGCATGTGGGTTTCAGTAGTTGTGGCACACGGGCTCAGTAGTTGTGGCTCGCAGGCTCTAGAGCGCAGCCTCAGTAGTTGTGGCACACAGGTTATTTGCTCCGCGGCATGTGGGATCTTCCCGGACCAGGGCTTGAACCCGTGTCCCCTGCATTGGCAGGCGGATCCTTAACGACTGTGCCACCAGGGAAGCCCTTGCCTGTCTCTTGAGTCTCCGTTAGTCTAGACCTCCCGTCTGCTTTTTCCCTTGGTCATCATTTGTTGACTAATGGGTCATTTGGTTGTTGGCGTTGTCCTGGTGAGCACTGATGGCAGTGATGAGGTATCTTCACATGGCTTCTCGGGTTGACATCAACAAGGGAGCCTGGAGCAGAAGAGGAAGGAAATGGCAGATACTCCCACCTGCCGGGTAAGCACAGTCCCAGAGGGTGGCAGCTTCCTCGTGCAGGCAATTAGGATTTTGCAGAAGAACTGGGATATCGGTATCGCCATGACTCCAGAGGCTCTGTTATTTTTTTGTTTTTTTGGCGGTACGCGGGCTTCTCACTGTTGTGGCCTCTCCCATTGCGGAGCACAGGCTCCGGACGTGCAGGCTCAGCGGCCAATGGCTCACGGGCCCAGCTGCTCTGCGGCATGTGGGATGTTCCCAGACCAGGGCATGAACCTGTGTGCCCTGCATCGGCAGGCGGACTCTCAACCACTGCGCCACCAGGGAAGCCCCAGAAGCTCTGTTTTTCTCTTCCCTACTGGAGCCTCCTAGCTGGTCTCCCTGCTCCACTCTTGCCCTCCAGCCAGTGAGCCAGAGATATTTGTCCACCATGCAAT